AGGGTCTTACCATGTTGCCCAAGCTGGTTGTTTATTATTATTATTATTATTATTATTATTATTATTATTGAGAGACAGTCTCGCTCCATTGCCCAGGCTGAAGTGCCGTGGTGCCATCTCGGCTCACTACAACCTCCACCTCCCAGGTTCAAGTGTTTCTCCTGCCTCAGCCTCCCGAGAAGCTGGGATTACAGGTGCGCGCCACCACACCCAGCTGATTTTTGTTATTTTTTAGTAGAGATCAGATTTCACCATGTTGGCCAGGCTGGTCTTAAACTCTTGGCCTCAGGTGATCCACTTGCCTCGGCCTCCCAAAGTACTGGGATTACAGGTGTGAGCCACTGCACCCAGCTATTCTCATTTTTATTGACAAAAGTGTTTAGGAATATGAAGTTTCCTTTGACCACTGCTTAAAAGATGTCCTGTATTATCCATAAAAGCCAAAAAAAAAAAAAGAGAGAGAGAAAACCCAATATCCAACAACTGTTGTTACAATACAGCCATACAATGGAATCTTATTTAGTAAAAATAATTAAGTACTGATACATGCTACTTGGATGAACCTTGGAAATATAAACGAAACAAGCCAAACCCCACGTTTTATACTCTAATTCTACAGGCAATATCTACAGGAGCAATCTATACAGACAGAAAGATTAGTTGTTGCTTTGGACTCTGGGGGTGGTAGTGGAACTGGATGAGTGGATCGGGTGATCATGGCTAGGGTTTATTTTTGTGGTCATGAAAATGTTCTAAAATTGATTGTGATAATTGCTGCACAAATATATGAATATACAAAAAAAAGAATATATTTTAAACAGGTTAGTTGTATGCTGTGATAATTGTATCGCAACAAAACTAAAGGCCTAAGGAAGGAACTGAATGTATCAGAGGCATAGATCATTTTATGGATTAACAGGTTAATCTTTTTTATTTATTTATTTATTTTTGAGACGGAGTCTCGCTCTGTTGCCCAGGCTGGAGTACAGTAGAACCGTATTGGCTCACTGCAACCTCCGTCTCCTAGGTTCAAGCAATTCTCCTGCCTCAGCCTCCCGAGTAGCTGGGATTACAGGGGCCCACCATCACGCCCGGCTCATTTTTTTGTATTTTTAGTAGACGGGGTTTCACCGTGTTAGCCAGGATGGTCTCGATCTCCTGACCTCGTGATCCGCCCGTCTCGGCCTCCCAAAGTGCTGGGATTACAGGCTTGAGCCACCGCGCCCGGCCTAGAGCCACCGCGACCGGCCTCAAACCCCACGTTTTATACTCTAATTCTACAGACGATATCTACAGGAGCAATCTATACAGACAAAGATTAGTTGTTGCTTTGGACTCTGGGGGTGGTAGTGGGACTGGATGAGTGGATTGGGTGATCATGGCTAGGGTTTATTTTTGTGGTCATGAAAATGTTCTAAAATTGATTGTGATAATTGATGCACAAATATATGAATATACAAAAAAATGAATATATTTTAAACAGGTTAGTTGTATGCTGTGGTAATTGTATCGCAACAAAACTAAAGGCCTAAGGAAGGATCTGAATGTATCAGAGGCATAGATCATTTTATGGATTAACAGGTTAATCTTATTTATTTATTTATTTATTTATTTTTGAGACGGAGTCTCGCTCTGTCGCCCAGGCTGGATGGAGTACAGTAGAACCGTATTGGCTCACTGCAACCTCCGTCTCCTAGGTTCAAGCAATTCTCCTGCCTCAGCCTCCCGAGTAGCTGGGGTTACAGGGGCCCACCATCACGCCCGGCTATTTAAAAAATATTTTTAGTAGAGATGGGGTTTCAGCATGTTGGCCAGGCTGGTCTCAAACTCCTGACCTAAGGTGTTCCGCCCGCCTCGCCCTCCCGAACTGTTGGGATTACAGGAGCTGTTGGGATTACAGGCGTGAGCCACCGCCCCCAGCCCCATCAGGTTAATCTTTTAAACAGGGTGTCGCCGGTCTCGAACTCCTGGGCTCAAGAGATTCTTCCGCAGTACCTAGGACTACAGCGGGCTTATCTTTGTAAATACGTTTATATCCCTGCCGAGGGTTGAAGAAACACGGAGAAAATCCTGCAGAAAAGAATTTCCCTAGGGTGGTGGC